AAGGACAAAGCAAACTTGGAAATCATCCTTAGAAATGCATGAGTGAATTCCAATGTAAAAATTTCCAGGCCAGACTTGGATGACATCTGAGCCACCTCATCCTTGAGCTGCTGGATGTCACGAATACGTGACTGACTGAACAGAGGCAAACCCTGAATGACGATGGGAACCTAGAGGATTTCGGGGCCCCTCCTGGGTGGCGAGTTTTCTGAGAGACAGAACATGAGCTTGGGAAAGCGGCAGATTGGCCTGAGCAGGCGCGAAAGTCTTGGGGCCAGGTGCCAGCATGCAAGGTTTAGGAAACCTACATTGAGCACTAACTGTAGACCAAGTACTCCTTCCCCAGGCATTCCCACAGTGGGCATATTCAGAAACCCAAATCAGTTGGCTTGAATTCTCCACAAGTTTCCTTTACATGTTTTGAGATAAAAGCTCAGAAAATGACTTTCTGTTTTTCTCCCAGGAGACTCTGTGATTCCAGATTCGAAAACTGATCAGCAAGAGAGCTGTCATAGAAGGCTGGGGCTGCACTGTGGGGAGCCTCCTCCCCGACCTTAAGCTAGCTTCTGACCCATCTGACGGTGACACTGTGCCAGTGCTCACATGAGGCTGGAGCTCAATGCCTTCGTGAACCTGCGCCAGGTGATTTTCCATCCCAAGAGGTTCCTGGCTAGTGCCATCTATACCTCTGCACAGAGCGCCAAGGTCAGGGACGTGGCTGCAGGAACTCATCAAATGACCCCTCAATAGAGCAGTAAAGGTAGTGGCAGCAAATTAGCACAATGATAACCATCATCATCATCACCACAATTATCATCATCATCATCACTATCATCAGCATCATCACTATCATCACCATCTCAATTATTATCATCTCCATCATCACCACCATCATCATCTGTCATCACCATCATCACCACCATTTCCACCATTACCATCATTATCATCACCATCATCATCAACACCATCATCATCACCATTTCCACCATTACCATCATTATCATCACCATCATCATCAACACCATCATCACCATTTCCACCATTACCATCATTATCATCACCATCATCAACACCACCATCATCACCATTTCCACCATTATCATCATTATCATCACCATCATCACATCACCATCATCACCACCATTTCCACCATTACCATCATTACCATCACCATCATCATCATCACCACCATTTCCACCATTACCATCATCATCACCATCATCAACACCACCATTTCCACCATTACCATCATTATCATCACCATCATCTCCATCATTATCATCCTCATCATCACCATCATCATCACCATCACCATCCTTATATTAACAGCAGCAGGTACATACTGAGAACTGTTATGTGGCAGGCACTGAGTACTTGGCATGCTCTGTCTCACTGAATCTTTACAACAACATTATGAGATGGTTAACTCTATCATCCCCACTGGCACAGAGAGGACAAGCAAGTTGTCCAAATTTACACAGCGATCATGAGCTGAAGCCAGGAATTTGAAGACAGGCAGTAGGACTCTTAACCATTAACCTGAAACACAAAAAGATTTCCCAATTACTTCATAGGTAGGGTGAATCCTGACAGGGAACCCTTTAGTCATTCTAGCAGCTATCCCAAGTAACGTTACTTCCTGAGAAATTTCAGAGTGCCCCAAGTCACCAGCCACGTTTCCTCTCTGCTCCCAGCTATCCCAAGTAATGTTACTTCCTGAGAAATTTCAGAGTGCCCCAAGTCACCAGCCACGTTTCCTCTCTGCTCCCAGCTATCCCAAGTAATGTCACTTCCTGAGAAATTTCAGAGTGCCCCAAGTCACCAGCCACGTTTCCTCTCTGCTCCCAGCTATCCCAAGTAATGTCACTTCCTGAGAAATTTCAGAGTGCCCTCAAGTCACCAGCCACGTCTCCTCTCTGTGCCCAGCCATACCTGTGCTATAGACAGACAGAAAAATATGATGTGTCCCTTCTAAATATTTCTCTGCAGAAACAGAAATAAAATTTATAAATCCCCAAATGTGATACCAAAGATCTCTTTTTGGACAGGTGAAATTCACTTAATGGATGTTTCATCCACCTCCTAAAACTCTAATTCCAAATTCTGGGGTGCCCCACAGTGAGTGGCAAAGCTTGCTGTGTCTGAGATGATAAGACTCCCAAGTCCCTGGTAGCCTGTTCTGCCTCTGACACTGGAAACCCTGTCCTCCTCAGGCCACTCTTGCTGGGTATAAAAACAACTGATGAGTATGGAGAATTGTTTGGTGCCAGGTGCCTTATTTTATGCTCTGCGTTCATCCATGAAACTCTCACAGCAACCATTTAGGAAAAATATTTCTAAGCCTCAGTTTTGCAGGTGAAGAAAAGGAAATCAGGAGAGAAGAGACCTTTTCCAGGGTCACGTGGTGACATGCGACAGAGCCCAGATTCTCGCCCAGATCTTCAGCCTCGAGGCAGCTGCTAACTAACCTCAGCAATGCCTGGCCTCCCAGATTGCAGCTCTGGAATCCCCAAGACCACTCCTGCTGCCTTAGATGTCTGAGAAGTGTGAGTCGTGTTCACGTTCCACCAAATGTTGGGGACCCAGCTCTACATCTGATGACTGCCAAGCAAGGGGGTTCGAGGGAGTTCAGCCCTCTGTCCCACCACTCCTTCCATCCGGGGAAGCTTTAACCGTTGTTTTCCTCCCCCCTCCGCCATCCTCCTCTACTTGGGAGCTCCGGATAAGGAGAGTATGCAGCCTGTTCTCAGTAGCCTAAGCAAAGATCTCACCTCCTGCATCACCAACCAGTACTTCCCAGTGTCTAACCTAAATTGTTCTTGCTCTGGTCTAATTCATTTACATGGTACCCGCTGGGCTACGAGGAATCCCGCTAGGGGAACCATCCCCGCATTTCCTCTCTTCCCTTTGCCTTGGCCGGGAAGCTCAGGACGGTGGCCCAGCCCTGATGAGCGCTGCTGTAAACCACCTGTTCCCTTCCCTGTGGCCCAGCGTCGCGTTCCAGAATTAAGATTTCTCTGCATTAGAAACAAACACACATATTTTCCTCTTTTTAGATTTGTTTTGCTAAACAAATTAATCTAGCACCAGATTATATTATGAAGAACCATAAATCGCTTCCAAGATAAGCATCTGTCGAGATGGATTAGCAACATCCAATGCACTGTGAATTAATTTGCTAAGCCTACAACGCTGTCCCGGGTGTTTAACTTTAGTAATAACAAATGTAATTTGGAATAAATGGGAACTTGTTTCCTCATCCATGTCTATACAGTAAGTGACGTATACAGAGGAGGTGACAGTAAGGGAGAGGAGCACGAAATCCTATTATGACGATGGCTGCTGAGTTTACTGAGGTGAAAACGAACGCTCTGTAAACTGCTAGCAGGCGCCTGACAGCGCAGGATGAACTGCAGACCCTGCGTGTCCGTGGCTTCCCAAAAGAGGCTGCCTGGGAGGTAGCCGACGCAGGACCTCCAGAGTCTCTTCCTCCGGAGCCTCTTGCTCCAGAGCCTCTCCAGGCACGGCCCCCAGCATCCGCAGGGAGCCCAGGCCGTGCTTCCATAGAAACGCTGCTCTCTAGGGAACAGGAGCTCAGAATAAAAACCGCAGGTTCTCTTGTCCAGGTGAAGGAAGAAAGTAGGTCAGCGGCTGAAGGACAAAAGCCACCCACCCCACGAAAACCTGTCCAACGACTGCCCGGTGCCTGCCTGCCCAAGATGAGGAGGAACCAGGGCCAGGATGCAGTCTAGCGAGGATGCAGAGCGCCTGGATGCCGCGCCGGCCGCCTGCAGATGAGCTCTGGAGAGCAGCTGTCTTCCCTCCCCTTGATTCTGCAGAGGCCTGGAGGGAGCCTCCCGAGCCCACAAGCTGGAGGTTGTGGAAAGCAAGCTGTGAGGAGGCCACAGGGCGCCCCCACCCATTTTGCACTGATGCCCTGAAATCTGCATCCGATTTTAAAGTTAGCAAATGTTGCTGCTTGTCTAGATGTTCACAACCTAGATCTAGGTTGTGAACTTCTAAGCCAACCTGGCACATCGGGCTGTGCCTGTTAACAGAGGCAGAGAAAACTGGAGGGAGGTGAGGGTGTGCCCGGGGCTCTGCGCTCTCCCCCGCAGGCCTGCCGTGAAGCCTGGTGACATCACTGCTGGCTACCAGTTCAGGGACAAGCCCTGGCTTGGGGGATTTCCAAGGGCTACTCCTTTCAAAGCAAATGGAGGACAACGTATAGGAGGAAAATAAAAAACAACAAAACTGCGCAGAAGGAGATATTCCAAAGCCAATGAACTGTGTGTGTCCACAGGCAGCTAGGATAACAGCAGCAGAAGAACCAAAGCCCTTTGTTCTGATCTCCGTCCTCCAAACGCCCTCCTGACATATCCCCAGGGAGCCGAACGCTGCCACCTGAATCGCTGTCTGCGAAGCTTCTGTTAACACTGCTGGGAAGTTCTTCCTTTTAGCTGGCCTCGGCCTTTCTTGCTATTTAAGGCCATTCCTAATCCTTGACCAAAGTCAAGTTGGCAGACACCTTGCCCCCGCCCATGGGTCCCACACCCTTGAAGACTTTTGAAGACTCCGGGGCAGGGGGATCCTTAACTGTATCACGAGACGAGCAAGCATCTTACTCAAGGGTCGGCCCCAGAGACAAAATTCTACGAATCTGGAATATGTGGCTGTGTGTGGTGGATTCCACCGGTCTGTAATAGGGGTGCTGCACCTGGTGGATTCAGCTGATAACTAACAGAGGCACAAGGGGTGCAGCGCCCACTTCTAGGTACATGCTAAAAAGGGAAACTCTCCCTTCTCACGCCCCCTTCCTCTAAGGCACAGCCTGTATTTGCCAGTCTACACGCATGTGCAAGCTCACGGACACATCACGCCTGCATCTCTTGGAGCCTCCACACGTAGCTTCACCCCAGGGACATCTAAGCATCTCTCCCGAGTCACGCCCCCAGCCCTCAACCCCAAGCAAACCCAAACCAGAAGAGAGATGGCCCTACCTGAGGCCTCCCCCAGAATCCTTGGGGGCTGGGTGACTTCCCCATTGTTGCTGGGACTGGTGGAAGGCTCTGTTGTGCTAACCCCACCTGGGATCCTTCTCCGGGGATCCAGGGACTCGGTGAACCCCTTAGTCTGCAGCATCATGGGGGTGGCCGTGGTGGTGGTGGTGGTGGCGGCCACAGTTGTCTTCCGTGTTTGTAGGATGGAGACCGTGGTGGGGCCGTAAACGCCCGGAAACGTGTTGGACTCCAGGGCCTCCTCCTCCCCTGTGGGCCCCCAGGCGATGAACTCAGTCTCTGTGGTGGGCCGGCTGCCTCTGGAGTCGAAGCTGCTGAGACCGTCCCCCTGCAGGTGCCTCTTGCCCCTCCTCAGGAGGGTCTGCTGCTCCGGGGCCCCACCGGCCACCGCCGAGGACGAGGACGAGGATGAGGAGGCGAGAGAAGGGTTGGATTTGGCAGCAGCTGGGGGCTTGGCCAGTCCTGCCCTGGGCACGAGGGCGGCCGCCTGGTCCCGGGGCCTGTGAGCCCGTCTGGCTCGGGGCATCTGCATTTGCCCGTGGATCCGCTCCACGCGGGGCGGCCGGGGACTCCACACGGGGGCCGGGACCCGCGCTGGCTGTCCACTCCTAAAACTCCACAGCCGGGGCGGCCGGGGCGGCGACCGCGGCAGGAGCCAGAACTCGGGCCCCGGGCCCAGGGCCTCGCAGGCGGGCAGGTCCACGGCGAGCTGAAACATGGCTATCAGTATCCAGGCATGGCTTCCGAGGGGGCGGCCCGGCCAGCGGATGGACATGGAGCTGTGCGGAGGGGGGGAGAGAAGAGCGGTCAGTGGAAGCCTAGCGGGGGGCACTGGGCCCCGGGGCCCCCTCTCTCCACCCCCTACGGTGACAAGGACGCTCTCTTCTGGAAAGAGCTCCTCCTAACTTCAAAAGGGAAGCCGAACCCCTTCCTTCCTTCACTTCAAAGGCTGACTCACGTGCGGTTTATTCATCAGATCTGAAAAGAACAGTGTGGGCTGCAAGGGTGCGGGGAGCTGCTTCCCAGCACCGCGGGGCTGAGGCGCCTGCCAGGCACACAGCTGGCTGGGGGCCGAATCGTCCATTTCACTGGAGGGAAAACCGAGCCTCAGAAACCCCCAGCCTTCAGGTCAGTCTTGACAAGATGACCTGAAAAGACCTGAGTCCCTCCTTCCTTTTGACCATCACACGACGAGAGGACGTAAGTGAGAGGATGGCAGAACAGGACACCTGCCTCCACCTGGGACCCCAGGGCCAGGCGCTTTCCTCTACACAGCCCAGGCCACCCCCTGCCCACTGGGGAAGCGCCTCTCCAGGTCTAGGAGGAGCAGAGGTTTCAAGCTCCCAGTGTGATCGCAGGCGCTTCCTGGCACTTTGCAAACACCACCCGCTCCCCCTGCCCCTCACCCAGAGCCGGGCATGCATATCATAAACAGGCATCGCTTTGAATGCTGTGCATGGGAAGGCTTCTTACTTCTGGCCTCCTCTGGATCGTACTCAGGGAAATGAGATCTGCTCTGGATAAACTGAAAGTTTATTGACGCGAAGTGTTTGTTCTGTTGACATTTCTGCTCCCCCTGTTTATCTGCAGTGCCGGTGCCCTTTGCAACCCTGTTATCCACCTCCTCAGCTCCCCGGAGGGTTGCAGAAAGGGCAAACCCTGTGCAGCCTTGAGGAGGGAGGGGCTGCCTCGACACGCAGCGGGGCTGCAGGGGAGAAGTCAGGGCCGGCGGAGCCGCCCCTCCCCAGTTCACATGGAGCGGCTTTGTCACCAGGTCTGGGGTCGCCTCTGGACCAGTGGACTCCCCGGTGTCACGTGAAAACCAGGGCGCGGCAGAGAGCCACGTGGAAGGACTCAGAGGAGACAGGCCCACGCTCCCTCTTCCGCCAGCACAGATAATTGAGGACTGATTATAGGTGTCATTCAAAGTCATTTCTCGTCACCAGCCTCACATCTGAAAGTTAAAATGAATCCAAAAACCGTAATGACTGCAGCGGGTGGGGTGCGGGTGGGGGGGGGTCTGAGGGTGTTCAAGTGCCAAGCACCAGCCTGATGCCGCCCAAAGCCAGGCCTGGAAAGCAAGTTGGGTAGAGTTTTTCTTTATAAGGCAGTGAGTGACTTCACAAAGGAAGGAAGCTGTGTGTGTCATTGTAATGCGTGCACAGAAGTGTGTGTGTACGTGTGCATGACTGGGTGTGAGTGTGTGCGTGTGGGTCAAGCTGTGTGAGTGTGCCAGTGTGAGAGTGAACCAGCATACGAGAGCGTAAAGACGCATCTGGGGGTGTGTCCACGAGTGTGAGAGACTGTACGTGAGTGACGGCCAGGGCGTCCGTATTTGGCACGTGTGAGTGTGAGAGTATACTGTTGTATGACTGTGTCCATGTGTGTCAGCACAGAAGTGTGTGAGTGCATCCATGCTCATACGTGTGTCAGTGTGTATGAGTGTATCTGTGTGTCCCTGAGTGTGCGAGTCTGTGTCTGAGAGTGTGTATTTGTGTGAGTGTGTGTGCAACTGTATCTATGTGTCCCTGTGTGAGTATGCGAGTGTGTCTGTGAGTGTCCGTGCGAGTGACTCTATGTGTGAGTGTGTCTGTGTGGGAGGGTGCAGCTGTAGCTGTGTGTGAACCTGTCCCTGTGGGCACGCCCTCTGTTCAGTACTGAAACCCTTGTGTCCAGGGCTGACTCTCCCTGATATCTGGGGAACAGATGGCCCCCCGGTCATCAGGATGGTGCTCATTACCAAAAAGGACTAATCCCCAAACAATAAGGCTTCAGTTTTTTAATCAGAATAGAAGTGCTTTGCTGCAGAAATGAAGACCTCCTCATTATGCTCATCTTTAGCACCGTGTTTCTGCTGGTGTGCAATTTCTCTGCACTAGCAGCCAAGCTCGGGCCAGGGACCAGGACCACTGTCACCACAAGGAAGAATTTAGGTTAGGGTAAAATTCCCCCGTATACACACTAAGCTAGCTCCTCTGTGGCTGCAGGTGACCCAGCAAGGATGGGAGCTGGTTTAGAATCTCTAGTTCTCCCATGACCTGCCGAGCTGGGTGGGAGTCTAGGCCCCAGGAAGATGAGATGCTGCTCTGAGCAGGTGCAGGGCCTCACCAGGCCCTACCAAGTCCCTTCAGGCTCCATCAGGCCTCACCAGACCCTACCAGGCCTCACCAGACACCACCAGGCCTCACCAGACCCCACCACACTCCACCAAGCTCCACCAGGTCTTACCAGACTGCACCAGACTCCAACAGGCCCCACCATACTCCACCAGGCCCCACTAGGGCTCACTAGACCCCACCAGGCCTCACCAGGCCCCACTCCACTCCACCAGGCCCCACCGGCCCCCACCAGACAGGCTGAATCAAAAGCTATGACAAGCAAACCTGCCTGTCATCAGCACTTAGAGAAATATTGCCCCAGGAAATTAAAACCATAGCACCTAAGCCTGTGCCTGCCTCCCTGGCATAACTTCACACACAGGATATTTCTGTGATTTTTCACCAATCATGGCTGTAATTGGTTACTATAGAAACCCCCTCATTTCCAAGACACCCAGCTGTTATGCAGAAAAACCAACCAATTGCAACAGTGGCAGGGAGAGGTCGATTTATTTTTCCTCTTCAAGTCTGGTTTCTTCCTTTTTAAAGTGATTGATTTGTTCAAAGAGGAGAAAAAAGAGGGCAGGTGGGCAACCAGGACAGAGGCCCCAGCCCACCCCCAGCAGCCAAGAAATGTGGCGGGCAGAGGGAGAGCCCCTCCCACAGGAAGATGTGTAGGGGCCACCGCTCCTTTCTGTGCAAGGCCAAGGGCCCCAGGCTCTGTGTTGCCACCAAGTCGGCTGAGCTTCGTGTGCTGCCTGGACCTGGTCCTGAGACTCTCGGGGACCCCTCGGTGAGAGGCTGCATCACTGCAGGAGGAGGATTTGGCTCTATCTCCAAGGAATGCTGAGCAGCACAAACAAGCTCTGCCCTCATCCCTTGGGGGGCTCTGAGATGAGGCAGAGTCTGGGAACGCTCTTCTCACTGATCCTGCTCAGCCTGGGGCTGGACCCTGAGCAGCTCTCATTTCATGATGAACAGGTTCTGAGAGGGCCTCTCCCCACAAGGCATCCATGGCACCGTCAGACATGCACCAAGATGGCAGGCGACCCCACACCTCCTTGGGAGGCAGGCCCTGCGGCATGGCTGCCAACCACAGTGCCAACTGTCAGGAGGCGAGGTTGTGGGGCAGGCAGAGGTGGCACCGGCTCCCCCAAAACTCAAGCATCCACAGGCCCCTTAAGAACATACCGCCCGGCCAGGCACCATGGCTCACGCCTGTAATCCCAGCACTTTGGGAGGCTGAGGTGGGAGGATCACGAGGTCAAGGGATCAAGACCATCCTGCACAACATGATGAAACCCCATCTCTACTAAACATACAAAAATTAGCTGGGTGTGGTAGCACATGCCTGTAGTCCCAGCTGCTGGGGAGGCAGAGGCAGGAGAATCGCTTGAAGCCAGGAGGCGGAGGATGCAGTGAGCCAAGATCGTGCCACTGCACTCCAGGCTGGAGATGGAGCAAGACTGCACCTCGAAAACAAAAACACAACAAAAAAATACCACCCGTGTCACACCCACAGAGAGAGCTACAAGCAGAAAGACTGAGAACATGAAGTGTTGGCGAAGACACGAGGAGACAAGAGACCTAGTATGCTAGGTGGGAATGAAAACCAGAACGCCTCTGAGCAAAACAGTTTGGCAATTCCTTGGAACCCTAAAGACAGCAGTGACCCTGCTGCCCCTCTCTTAGGCACAGACATCTGTCCACATGAAAACTTGCACAGGGAGGCCCAGGACCACACTCACAACTCACAATAGCCAAAGCTGACTCAGCCCACGTGCCCATCAGCTGAGGAATGGATAAATGGGATCTGGCGTTACGTTACAATGGAGTATCGTTCAGCCTTTAAAAGGATGGAAGGATTACTTGATCTATGCTACGATGTGGATGCACCTTGAAAACCCTGAGAAATGAAAGAAGCAAGGCACTCAAGGCTACATGGTGCCGGGTTCCATTTATAGGAAATGCACACAGTGACCAAATCCATACAGACAGAAAGATGAGCAACTGCCCAAGGCTTGGGGAAGGGTTATGGGGTAGGGGGTTTCTTTTCGGGGTGACAAAATGTTCTGGAATTGTGTGTGGGGGTAGCTGCACAACTCTATGCCTATATGAAACCCACTAAACTGTACATTGTAATAGGTGAGTTTTGTGCCATGTAATTATATCCCAATACAAATCAAAAGGAACATGCTAGAGAATGGGGTGTGTGCAAGGGTTCGGGGGGAAATGTGGAGTGTGTGGCATGGCATCCTGATCCTGGCCCTGGTGGATGGGTGGAAGGCAGAGCGGCCCCTGGAGCTGCAGGCACGTGGGCAGGAGGAAGCCATGCAGACTGAGTTCATCCACCCAGTCCTCGCTGGGACACCCTGAACGTGAGACAAGGTCCCTGCCTGAGCACCTGAGGACCACATCCACACCCTTTGAGAACAGGCGGGGGCACCTCCCTCTCAGCAGCCTCCAGCCTATGATTTTCAAAGAAAGAACAAACTCCTTAGCCACCCCCACCCAGCTGCTTCCAAATGGGGAACTACCGCTTCTAGTTTGTGGCTTTCTTGCTTCTCTTCCTTTTAAATTTTTATTGAAATCGTTTTTCCCCAGGAACAGTTTAATAAGACTTGGTGAATTGAGATTCAATTCAGTACCTTCTGTATATTTTCTTCACAGAAGAAAATCATTGTCAATTAAGGGGACAAAGACATCTCTTCCACTTAAAGTTGCACCTTTCCCCGAGCCGGGAGTGTGCAGGGTGAGCCTCCTGGGAGAAGCTAGTGTCTGCCTTGTGGGAGCACCGGCGCAGACAGAAGCAGGCCAGGCCCTGGAATTGTTCCACCAGGGAACAGCCCAGAATCTTCAGGGTGGGGCAGGACCTGGGAGCTGTGCCCATGACCAGTCCACCCCAGTCCTTCCATGAAGACACCCACTTCCTGTGACTCCTCCAAGTCCTGTCGTTCACTGGCTCTGTGGCCTGGGAGAAGGATGCTGCATTTGATGGAGAAGTTAGCTTGGCATGGGCTTGTCGCTTCCCGCTCTGCAAGCCTCATTTTTTTCTGTCATTCACACCAGTGAGTTGGGGCAGGTGGGCTCTGAGGTCTCCTCCTCCCTGTTGAAGAAGACCCGTGCTTCTACGGTCAATAATTCACACGGCACCGTTAGAAATGATCTCCAGGAAGCAGAAGGAATAGACACAGACATAATTGTTGTATGACACAGCGCTCCCGTTGGCTTTTTGTGAGTTCCTGCTCTTTCGTGGAAGGCCCCACCCCAGAAGTGGACCTCCTTTCCCTGAGGGCCCAGGGTCTACCCCTCGGTCCCCAATGACCCGTGACCAGATGCTTCTTGACTCCCACCTTACTTCTATTGGTTTGCTTCAAAAAAGCTTTTTATTTTAAAATAGTTTAAGA